TAGTTTACAGTTGGTGCACCGGTCGAGCACCAGCTACATTACAGTTCATGTAACTTCAGTCACTGTTTTCCAGTAACGCCAGTCATCTTGAACTTGTGGTCTATATTTGTTCTTGAGGAGGGGTCAGATATGGCCCACTCTCACTCTCTCCCCTGTGGTAAGAGTCACAAGACCCATCCACAAGATCACGTTTCACCAGCAAATGTATAAAGCCAGGGGGAACACAAATTCACAGACCACATAGAATTACCAGCATTTCTAAAAAATCTAGGACTATACGTCTGTTTTAGTGCAACAATAAGTCACATTTTGACTGAACAGCTATAGTTACTTAAAACTACATTTATATTTGAAATCCTGAAAGCCATTTCCTGTTAAAAAAAGCGACTATTCCAGGAGCGCTGCTAACAATCACTGCAGAAGCCACGTGGCATTGCCATCAGTTTTGCACAAGCATTTTCTTCAGAAAACGTTAAAATCTAGTGGAATATTAGCAATTTATGAAAGCCAGTTTCCACAATGGAATATTTTTTCTTGCAATTTTGAGATTACATCTCAAAATTCAGACGTAATTGTAAATTCTAAACTCAGAATTGCGAGAAAAAATCAGCACCAATAGCCTTTGTGTGCCGACATAGAGCGCTCGCGGCTAGGGATGTTCATTTTAACCGGTTAACCGACCATAAGAATTTTTGACCGATTAATACACAGTTAAACGGTTTAAAAAGTAATTTATAAATTTTTTTCAGTAATTTATCAAAATATTTAAAAAGGTTTGCTGCATGGTTAAAATACGCTACGAGTACATAAAAACATTTCTAGAATTTCTAGAAAAGATCATTTCTTTTTTTAGAAAAAAAAAACGAAACTACTCCTTTTAGTCATAAAAATAATCGGAATTGTAAAAGGTTTGCTTTTATTTGTGTACATTCACAATATATATATATACATACATACAGCCTTGCTTTATTATGTTTTTCTCCGCTCGCAGAAGCTTGATGTGATATGAAGACCATGTGAATCCTCATTTTCTGTTGTTTGCTGCTTTTTGCACATGTAAAATGAATCCCCGGGAAACAAATGTTAGTATTTTTAACGGTTCACAGACACTTATCCTTTCTAATTTAATTCAATTCTAATGTAAAATAATCTTGTTGGTTAACAGTTAATAATCGGTTAATGAGTGTCGGTTAGGAAAAATAACCGAAATGAACATCCCTACTCGCGGCGACTCGAGTTTGAATCCCGTCTCATGGTCTTTTGCCGATCCCACCCCCTCTCTATCCACCCAATTCTTTCCTGTCAACTCTATACTGTTCTGTCCAAATAAAAGCATAAACAAGCCCATAAATAAATATTTAAAAAAAGTGAGAAAAATAGCCGCAATTACCTTTTTTCAGAGAAAAAAGCCAGAATTGTGAGACAAATAGTCGCAGTTACCTTTTTACCTTTTTTTTATTTCAAGGCAGAAAAAAAACTGGATTGTGAGATGTAAACTTGGAATTCAGAGACAAAACTCAGAATTACGAGATGTAAACTCCAAATTCTGAGGGGGAAAAAAGTCCAAAAAGCAAGATATAAACTCAGAATCGTCAGAATTGTGTTTATATCTCACAGTTCTGACTTTTTCCCAGACTTGCGAGAAACAAAGTCTGAATTGTACGATAAAAAGTCGTACAATTGCCTTTTTTTCCATGATAGCAATTAGCATAGGCAACATGCAATACTGCATTTTATTGACTTTCAGAACACCAAAGGTCCAAATGATGGTGGATTATTTCCAGACACTTTTCAAACATGACTCAGACACACATTTGTTTTATCCATGATGATGTGGAACTGGAAACACATCAAAGCTGGATGGGAAAAACAATAAGGCAGAGAAAGTGAGGTTTAAAAACAGCCAAAATAAACGGAGCTGGCTTTCTGAATACCGACGAGAACAAAAGAGGGTGATAGAGTGTCTGCCACGTAAAGGTCAGACAGGATTTAAGCATGACCCCGTCTTTTCAAGCGACGAAGAGCTGCATTGCAGAGAGAGCAGCTGCGGGTGGCAGGCCTCGATAAGGCCGTGTGTTGATAGAGCTGCGCGCTGGCGTATGGCTATCTGCTTCCACGCGGACCTGTGAAGGTTGTTGCCTCAGTGACAGACATTAGAGAAGGATGCAGGATCCATTTGAGAGAGATGAGAGCTTTCACCATGACAACTGACACAGATATGTCTGCAAACCGCCTAATGTGCCAATAAACCAGTTTACCAACACCAGCTAGTCCAGTACTTTCCTCTCAACACCTATTTCCTTTGATGTAAACACAAGTATGAGACGAAAACAAGTTCAAATTTACTACCGTTCAAAAGACTGGGGTCGGTGAGATTTTTTCAATGTTTTTAAAAGAAGTCTCTTAGCAAAACTGCATTTATTAGATCAAAAACACAGCCAAAACAGCAATATTGTGAAATATTATTGCAATTTAAAATAACTGTTTTGTATTTGAATATATTTTAAAATGAAATTCATTTCTGTGATGCAAAGCTGAATTTTCAGCATCATTCCTCCAGTCTTCAGTGTCACTTGATCCTTCAGGAATAATTCTATGTTGATTTGCTGCTCAAGAAACATTTTTATTCATATAAATGTTGAAAACAGCTGGACTGCTTCATATTTTTGTGGAAACCGTGCTATATTTCTATTCAAGGTTATTTGATTAAGGACATCATAAATCAAAAGAACAGCAGAAATGGTCTGTGTCTTTACAGTCACTTTTGATCAATGTACTAAATCGCTGCTAAATAAAAATATTAATGTCTTATTAAAACTGTGAACAGTAGTGTATCTTACATTTATAACATTATATAAAATATTATATTTTATTTACAATATTTATGCAATATTTTGCAGGTAAAACACTAGTTATTAAAATGTGATTGAATGACATTTGAATTTTTCTCAAGAAAATGCATGATTTTTTTATTACATATTTTTTAGGATTCTTAAAGAACAGCATTTATTTAAGTAGAAATCTTGTAAAAAAAAAAGTTACTGTCGTTTTAGATTAATTTAATACTTCCTTGCTGAATAAAAGTATTAATTTCTTTCCAAAAAAAAAAACCCTTTTAAATGTATATATACTAACATGTGAAAGTTTAGCGGTCTTTTATTGGACTGGAAGGACAGATCTGCTCAATTGTGTCCCATCAGCAGGCCAGTGCAGTCTAGTTTATTTTGCAAGTGCTGACCCTCTGGCAAACAGGACAGCCTGCGTGGAAAAACATGGACAAGGTCAGGACACCAAACAGCTCGACCCCACGCAGTGACCCAATGAATAATTACTGAAATGAGAACTTGTCCATGTCATTTACCAAAAAATGCTCCTATATATAGAAAATCTGCAATTACATGGAATATTCAATAGTGCTTATTTATGACCCCTGAGGGTCAACCTGAAAAAACTGACCACAACAACAGTGTCATTCTAAACGTCTCCAGGACACACTGTCCTTTTTGCTGGGTTCATTAAAAGTAAAAGCTCATAATACTTAAGACCAACATCACGCAAGTCATGTGGCAAAAGTTTTACCATGAACCTTTCCCAAATCATCCGCTGACCTGAGCAGGTGTGCAAGTCAGATCAAACAGGCAATCAAGCCTCTTATGACTTAAGCTGTTTTACTAAAGGAATATTCTGGGGTCAATACGAGTTAAGCTGTCATAGTGTTGATTAACACAAGAAATAATTTCAATTTGTTACACAGTTTGTAAAACAAACAAAAATGGTAATGTAACGAACATATTATGAAGTCTTAAAACTGACTGTTTTTTAACTCCTGTATTGACCATGTATACTTGATGAAGCCAGTAACATATGCACTCACGCGACGCATGCTAAGATAACTAAAAATGCTTAGGAATCAGGAATTACATTTATTACTCATAACCAGAAGTTATCCCACTCCTAAAAGGACAATTATCAACTTCACAGCTCAAATAATAAACATTTCTATAAGTAGGAATTAATAAATAATTAATTATAATAAACCAATATTAAAAATAATAATAATAATAATAATAACTCGTTACGCGTATTAATAATATCAATACTGCATATTCTGTTGTTGACGTCTAATGGTTGTCAGTTCTGCACATCGGTTTCCAGACACAAATCAGTGTGTTATCATAATGATCTTTAAAAAAGCATCATATGACCCCTTTAAAAAAATAGATGGATCTTTAGAACAGGAGCTGTTAAACATAAACGACCTTAAAGATCTAAAATGTATATAATCAAAAGAGCAAGACTGAATCAAAACTAAATTAAAGGCCAAATGAAGGTCACGCCCCCTCGCCATAGACGTCACATCATGTAAGTAACAGACTTAGCATCTCTATGTAAGAGCAGACACGCTCTGAACCTGCAAACAATCACTCATTAGCTACTCTATTGTTCTTTAAGAATATTTCTAACTATATAAAAGCCCACAAATGTCTCTTTACTGACAGGTTGATATGTAGCTGACATTAGCCGTTTGTTTACATTGCATTTCTTTCACTCACCTGTCCACAATCTGCTGCATCACAACCGCTCCCTCTTCTGCCATATTTACATGAGTCCGCACACTCAATTAATGACTGAAAACTAAATTATGGCAATATTTAAATATTTCAATAATAGAGATTTAATCGTCAGGCCGCAGGGAATCTTAACGCTGTGCTAAACGCATATGAGCGTCTTACTGTCATTAAACAACGGCTGAAATCTGATTATAAACCACTGAGATTGATTATTATAAACCGATCTATTAATGAATATTCATAAATGTCAGTAATTCCAGAAACACGCAGCGACTCCATTGACTGCGCGTGAGAAAACGCGAGAGGACGCAACAACGCGCTTGTGCGAGCATTAACCTGACTCTCGCGAGAGCACAGATGCACTATGGGACGTGTAGTCTTCATGTCATGTAGCCACAAATATAAAAATTTATGTTCTAGCAGAGGCAGGCAGCCTAGAGCAAGAGGGACTACGCCTGCTGGAGCAACATGAAGATACATATTTGGCTCCAGAATACCTCGTACTGTGGTAAGGAGAGACAACATATTTCAGTACAATTTATAAATGATTAGAATGCAGATTTTATTTAACATGGCATAGCATCCAGGAAATAGTAATAGCATGAGTGAGGGCTTCATTCATTTCCCTTTTCATATGGCATATGGTTAGGTAATTATGTGGTGTTTGCTTATTGCTGATGTGTTATGATTTTGATCATTTCTTTTGTTCATTTTTCTTTTATTGAGTTCATTGATACATATGAGACTTGAAGTGACAAGCATCTTCTGCTATTCTCTGTAAAATTAACTCTACTATTCTTCTATAGGAAAATGCCCCAAATTTGACCCACATTGGTCAATTTCAATCACTTTTAGCATTTTATAATATTTTCTGTATTTTATATTAACTTATTTATTAGTATTAGTCAATGAATAGATATCTTAGAGCTATAATTTAAGTTAATTATTTCATAAATGAATTTCCATTATGACAGGAGCAGTGAATATGGAGCCATGTAGCAGATTTGCATATTTATTTTGATATTATCTTGATATTTGATATAGTACAATTGTTTACCAATTAGCCTATATGCCTAAGTCATGTGAATGCTTTAAACTTTATTCTTTCATCAGTTAAAGGTCATTTTGTTGTGCATTTAAACATTGTCACTGCGACTAAACCTGGCTTAATATTGGGTTATAAAATGGATAGGTCTTGTCCTAGCTTCTTATTGTTCAGTGCAGCGTTTTAACATGTTAAAATCCACAATATATCACCATCTATGACCTGTTCATCATATGACTGCACACCTCCTATATCATAGTTTTGTTGCATATCAAAGTTCTGTTATGTCAGGTAATATTTCTTCTATCATAAGGGTGCTATACTTTGCTAAATAAAATCATATTTTATTTAAAAATTGTGTCTTTAATATTTTAATATTTAGTAGTCTACCTAATTTAAATACCAAACCATCTGGACCCGATTATATATTGGGACTGTCACTGTATGCTAAAGGGTTAAACTGTGATTTGCATGTTATATTATAAGCTTTACAACGCGTCATATAGTGCGTTTGATGGCTGTATTGACCGAAAAACTACAATTCCCACAATCCCTCAGTGCATCAGCCATGCGCCGCAGTCAATCAGCTGTTGAGGCGACTGCAGAAGGGCAGCTCATCTGTCATATCAAAACCCAGGCGAGACAAACAGAAATAGCCTTATTTACAGAATACCAAAAGGTGAACGATAAGGTAAAGTCTGATTCATGTACAGCGGGGAAAAAAAAAAGAAAGCAAGAGAAAAAAAGTCAACCCATCAGATGCATGTTATGTGTGTTTAATAATAGCTACTCTGAGTTGTGTGCAGCGGATTAAAGTGTTGGATTTGATTTCTTTCCCTTTCCAATAACCCGGTGCATTTTAGAAATGCATTATAATATACATGCATGTGATGTGCCGGTATACAGCAATATTATTTACTGTCTTTTAGATGGTCAACGCGTGCTCTGAAGTGATGAGTTCTATAATGACCTTGAATATGCAGCTCTAATGCAGCAAAACGAGGATTAACGGACGGAATATTTGGCAGAAACGCTCTTCATCTTGTTACGATCGTCTATTCTGATTAAAATTTGATTAAAAGTTGAGTTCATAAATCCATCAGGCTCGCTGAAACTGTCGCATTCTCGGCCTGTTTTTCATGGGAATATATTTGGCATCGTAGAAACCCTCAAGAGGTATGTAGAAATTGATGTAGCCTACTTTTTTTGCATATGGTTCAAATATCTTTTCGCTCGATCTTTTTTGCATAAGACTTAACCATTCACAAAATTGGTAAACAATATATGAGACATCATTCCTAAAGGCTGCAAAATAGAGATGTGTCTCGGATATGTCTCGATATTAAGTGGCTAAAAGCCATGAAGTGGAACAAATAAAAAGCTTTAGGGATTTCTGTTGCGTAGATGTTTTGTGCAGCATTGCTGGGTGTAACCCAAGATCCTGCAGCAAATATAACCTAGTTGCTGAGCTGTGCCACGGTCTGTTGTACACCATCCAAGTCCAAATGTCTGAACATATGGTTTACAAACTTGAGCTTAGAACTGTACATGTTCTTTCTTACTAGATAGCTAGATATGTACTTTACTGATTGTATGAATACACAAAATAAATAAGATGCACAATAATTTGCACAACATATATTACAATAAATTGATACATTTGTACGAATAAACATGTAGACATCATAAATACACAACAAACTATCGTTTGACACGATACCAACGCACAAAAGTTATTGCACATTAGGGATGAAGTCACCTGAAATATCAGCATGTATTCTGTAATGCACTGAACCAGAAAAATTATTATTAATTATTAGCTGTAAAACTACAAGAAACTTTTTGCACGTTTGTATTTAGCTAAGTAGCTGTCATTCGTCCAAATTCAATGTCGCGAAGTCTTACGATGACTGGAAACAAATGACTGTACACGCTTAAAAGTAAACCTCTTTTCCTCATTTATTTATGCGTGTTTTAACCTCGCTGAAGGACGCAGCTGTATTTATTGACGTATGCAAATTGAGGGGCGGGGCTTGTGAGGAGAAAAAAACAGGAACAAGAATCAGTTTCTCATTTCTGTCTGGAGTTCCGGTGAGAGAAAAACGAGACGTGGCGAAAATTGGTGAATATCGGTGACCTCCGAGCTTTTCTCTCCTTTATTCGTGTTGCGAGGGGGGTATAACCGGAGTTGAGACAGATCCTGATAGCTACATGGCTGATCAGGGGCTCATTAATAATAAAAACCCCAGCCCCGATCGCTGTGATCAATAATAACTGATCATCTGTGTTTCAGCTCAAAACATGCAGGATGATTTACTGATGGACAAAAGCAAAGCTCAGCCTCACCAGCACCAAGAGCCGTCAAATACAGAGCCTCCATCCACCCCGACCCCCTCCGAGCCTCCGGTCCTGGACGAGCAGAACCACGTCGGTCACAACGAGCGGATCGCCATGGAGTCTCCGGTGTTACCGGGTTTGGGTTTCTCTCAGGATTCCTCTCTGTCGCCGTCGTTCGGCAGCACTTGGTCCACCAACGCCGTAGACGAAGGCTTTTTCCAAGGGATTCCGTCGGTAAACGGGACGATGCTTTTTCAAAACTTTCCCCATCACATCAACCCGGCTTTCGGAGGCGAGCCTCCGGTCCTGGACGAGCAGAACCACGTCGGTCACAACGAGCGGATCGCCATGGAGTCTCCGGTGTTACCGGGTTTGGGTTTCTCTCAGGATTCCTCTCTGTCGCCGTCGTTCGGCAGCACTTGGTCCACCAACGCCGTAGACGAAGGCTTTTTCCAAGGGATTCCGTCGGTAAACGGGACGATGCTTTTTCAAAACTTTCCCCATCACGTTAACCCGGTGTTCGGAGGTAATTTTTCCCCGCAGATGAGAAGGTCTCCGCTGAGTGTGAACCAGAGGAACCCCTACAGCCACCAGACGCTCATCAATAAAGTGTCCGCGTCGTCCGCTTCTTCGTCCGCCTGGAATAACCATCAGAACGCGGTGTGGAGCTCCGCGGCGAACCCCTGGAGCGGCAGAGACCCGCGGAGAGCGCTCGGGCTCGGCGTCCCGTCTCCGCTCAACCCCATCTCCCCGACGAAGAAGCCCTTCCCGAGCAATGTCATCGCGCCCCCGAAATACCAGAGACCAGGAGCCCTGCAGAAACCCTGGATGATCTCAGAGCCTCCGGAGCCCTTCAGAACCGACAACAGCAACAACATGCTGCCATTTCAGGTGAGATTAGTCAGTAGCCTGTATAAAACATTGTTTATAGCCTACATAAAAGTCAGAAACATGTAGAATTAGGAATAACATTTATTTATTTATTTTTTATATAGCCTATAATTGTTATAGAAATGTGTGAATATAGTGAGGTTAATGCATCAAAGCACCCATCAAATACAGACATCTGTATTTATACTGTATCATAATGCACTCTAAAAAATGCTGGGTTGTTTCAACCCAACTTTGGGTCAAATATGGACTAACCCAACCGTTGGGGTAAATTTTTACATTCAATTTTTAACCCAAAAGTTGGGTTAGTCCATATTTGACCCAAAGTAACCCAACGGTTGGGTTAGTCCATATTTGACCCAAAGTTGGGTTGAAACAACCCAGCATTTTTTAGAGTGTGGTCAAAGAGTGTGGTCATAAAACATTTATAGACATAATTTATCATAAAACGTAATTTATAGACATGCTACATTAAAATAATACATTAAAACATTATACATAATAAAATGTAATACATTGTATATACATAAAACTCAGAAACATAGAATTAGGAATAACATTTTTATTGATATTTTTATTTATTTTTTTATATAGCCTATAATTGTTATAGAAATGTGTGAATATAGTGAGGTTAGTGCATCAAAGCATCCATAAAATACAGACATCTGTATTTAAACATAATGTATCATAATGGTCATAAAACATTTATAGACATAATTTATCATAAAACGTAATTTATAGACATGCTACATTAAAATAATACATTAAAAACAGTTATACATAATAAAACGTAATACATTGTATATACATAAAACTCAGAAACATAGAATTAGGAATAACATTTTTATTGATATTGTTATTAATTTTTTTATATAGCCTATAATTGTTATAGAAATTTGTGAATATAGTGATAATAATCCATCAAAGTATTAATAAAATACAGACATTTGTATTTATACATAATGTATCATATTGGTCATAAAACAATTTATACACGTAATTTATCATAAAACAATTTATAGACGTTACATTATAATAATACATCAAAAACAGTTCTAATATATTCAAAATAAAACGTAATTTTCACATGAATGTCGTTTTATTTTTTTTATTTTTATGTATTGAAGGATATGACTGTGTGACCAAATTTCTACAGATGACACTCAAAACTTTATATATACATATAATTCAGAGATACTGTACATATTATTATGATATCTGTTATGTATTTCTCTATATTGAAGGATATGACTGTGTGAACAAATTTCTACAGATGAGACTCAAAATTGTATATACTTATAATTCACAGAAATACCTATTATTCTGATATCTCTAGTTGTTTTGAATTATTTTCCAGCTGTTTCTATAAATTTCATTGTAAGGTGGAAGGGTTCAAATTCCCATCAGAGGCTCTCCTGCATCTCCTTTGGGGGCGTTTAAAGGGAACACCACTCGAATCTGATTGGTGCTTGTTGGGTGAGGGGGCGGGGCGGGGCCTGGGCCTGCTCTGGCTGTCATGAACTGTAACATTATTGCATACTGTTGACACAGTGATATTCTCAGATAGAGGACACTGATATTTTTGTTTCAACAAAGCAAATTTCTTAATTCTTAAGATTGTGGAAGCATTATCGGATTCTGCTGTATTTGATAGAATGTTTTTTACATAATTGGCCAGAATCATTATGCTTATGAATTTTTAATTTTATTTTACTTTTAATTTTTTTATTTTTTTTGATGAGTCATGCACACAGATAAAGAGTTTATTTAAATTGCACTTTGTTAATGTTAATGAAACTAAGTGAACTGAAAAAACGGAAGCATTATCGGATTCTGCTGTATTTGATAGAATGTTTTTTACATAATTGGCCAGAATCATTATGCTTATGAATTTTTAATTTTATTTTACTTTTAATTTTTTTATTTTTTTGATGAGTCATGCACACAGATAAAGAGTTTATTTAAATTGCACTTTGTTAATGTTAATGAAACTAAGTGAACTGAAAAAAAAAATCTAATTTTAAGTTTGTAACAAAAATACTGAGCATGAGAAGCAATTAAAAGAGTAAAAATTTTATTTGCATTTATTTTTAGAATGCAGCTTTTGCCTATGAAAGGCTTGATTTTGTCTCACTAAAACTGGCTTTGAGCATGTGAGGTTCATCTTAAATTTCTGATTTCAAAAATATTAGTGTAAATTTTGTGTATTGATTTGTTTGGATGTACACCTTGGTGTTCTTAATTAAATTGCAACACAAATATGACCATTCCACTCAACCTCGGGCATTGAAAAACACATATTAGCTGACCACTAATGTTTTTCACATGAAAAGTGTTATTTTAAGTCTGATATCTTGCACTTTTGCCCACAATGCTGTCAGTTTCCCGATATTGTAGATCAGTTTTGTCATCATTACGTGAACGTCTGCGATGCATACAATACCCTCATTAAAAACAAACCAAGAGCTTTTCCATTAAAGTTAATGCAAAGTAAATAAAGCGCACTAAAAAATATAACCAATAAACTTATCTAAAGTATTTGACAGACCACAGTTTTAGGAACATATGTAGTTTTTAGTTTAGTTGGTATAAAATATAAGGTATGCAAACAGACTGCCACAATACAAGATGTGGCATGTGTGTGTGCTGTTTAATGCTGAAATATGTGTGGCTCGTGTCTGATAGTGACTGAAGTGAAGAGCTCAGTGTTTTGATTGCTCATGATTTTCACAAAGTGGGCAGATTTTTATCTGGAACCTGAGAGGGGAAATATCGCTTTTTGAATGCTCAGCCAGTTGCGTGACAATGGGCTCGATGTGCAAACAATGTGCTTCCCTCGGTTGGCCTCTGCTCACTGCCATATTCATCGTAAATGTGACGTTACGTGACATTGTTTACAAGCCGTTATATTGACGTCTTTGCGCGGCTGAAACACAGATTGAACGATTACATGAGACAGGATACAGATTGTAAAGTTGTACTCTTTCTTTTAACTTGCCTTTGGATGTTTAGTCATGTTTATTTTGTGCTGAAATTGGTATTAATGTGAAGGAGATGATCAGTTCACGTGCGCCACGCGCTGCTGCGTCTGTTGAACTGAGGCACTACAGCGATCTGTCACTTCACATTAAACAGCGCCAAAACAACATTTATTGTTTGAATGCTGCAATACATTGTTTGAATACTGCAATACAATGGACAGAATTTGAAATCTGAGACTTTGTTTCATATTAAAAGTACCAAAGCACAATGCTTATTGCGATATATTGAATGGGAAGTGCCCTTCCATGTTCCGTCCATTAACTGAAAACAGGCTAGACTAATCGATTCTTGGGATTTAAGAATCGATATCGATTCGTAAAAATGAGAATAGATTATAACTGAGATATCGATTTTTTTTTTTACCCAGCCCTAGTAGAAGGGCATAGAAACAATATAATAAAAATACAATAAATATTAGAAAATGAGCAATAAGAGACAATAAAAATAATAAGAAACAATACATCTCAACAACTGGAAACAGTACACAATACAAGAAGTACCTAAAGTGAGTACTTTTGAGGAAGGATATATATATATATATATATATATGGATATATATATATATATATATATATTACTGCTGGGCAACGATTAAAATGTTTAATCACGATTAATCGCATGATTGTCTGCGATTAATCGCGTTATGCACAAATTCAATAATGCATTCAAAAGTAGTGTATTGTGCACTTTTTTTCATTTAAAAGTGCTGCTATATGAACAAAAGTGCAATAACATTTGGTTTGCAAACACTTTAAACAAATAAGGTGCTTTTTTACGGTAGTATTCCTTTTACATAGTAGCAGTTAAAATATTTCTTGTAAATCTCAACTTATAACATTAATGTAATCAAATTAAATATAAAACCAAAGCTATTTGCCACTGCCAGGGAATTAACGTTTTTATAGAAAAATATTTTATAGTTTGTTATAGAAAAACAAGGTATGCTCAGAGTCCAGAGCCTCCATCATAACATTATAACAGGAACCTTAGAGACCTGCACTATCCTAACGCAGCAGAGTGCGGCGTGGGACAACACTTGATGGGCGAGTGCGGGTGCGGGAGTGTAGACACTCGTTTGTGCGGGATGCGGGAGAATAAGAGTGTACTCACACTAGGCAATATTATCTGTGCCCTAGCGCGTTTGACCTCCAAAGCCCAGTTCGTTTGAATAGTGTGATCGCTCCATGCCGCGCACAGGCGTGGTTCGTTTAGCCGAAGCTCAAAATAATAAACCACAAAGTTAACAAAACGATGCTCTCCACTGTGCTGAGTGAGAGCGCTTCTCTTCTGTCTTCACGTGCTATCAGAAACTTACTATTTCCCACATATGAAGTCGTGATTAAGAGCACGTTGCATTCTTTTCTGTTAAAAATAACAGCGGACAGTGGTTTGTGAATGTTGATGCTTAGCCTAAATAATTTGATCGGGAGCATTCATGTGAGCGCTGCTGCAGTCTTAGGCCCACCCAAAATGCTCACATTGGTTGAGACACGTACTCATCCCAAGCCAGTACTGATCAACATCCCACCCCTCCTGTGACTTGTCTGTATGTGTATTCAGAGCCAGTGAGCAACGGACTTTCATAAAAATAAAAAAACGTTAATGCGCGATAAAATAATTGTCGGTATTAATCAATTAAAGGTGGGGTAAGCGATTTCTGCTAGCCAATGTTGACATTTGAAATCACCAAAACAAACACGCCCCTACCCCAAAGGGGTCTCGCCCCTATTTTGACAGCTCCACCCCACACATACGTACGCAACCCAGGCAACGATTAGTTCTATGAAACAAAGCAAAACCAATGTTACACCGTATCTACACCGGACGCGAGTGGCGCGGCGCTGTTGCTGCGTTCTATTCATGACATATTGACACAAATTTCAAATGATTTTCAACGGTCGCTTTGTCGCGTCCAATATACTAGACAGACTTTAGCAGGCCTTCATTCCGCTCCTTGAGTTCTCTCCAGCGCTGGAACGCTGATCCGATATTTACACGGGTCCTACTTCTTGCCTTATTGCCTTAAGCCTTCCGCAGACGTTTTCCTCTTTTGTTTTTTATCCGCCATCTTTCTTTCGCCCGGCTCGGCTAATGTCTGTCATGTGCACTGAACGCTCTCTCCTCCACATCATGAGTAGACACGCCCCTTACTGCTGATTGGCTACAAGTTTGTTTTGCTAGTCAGCCCGAATCAGTTTTCTAAAGCGTTTTTGAAAAATCACTTACCCCACCTTTAATGTGTTAACGCGATAATAACACGTTAACTTGCCAAGCCCTTATTTTAGCTTTATTTCAGTTAACAAAAATGATTTTTTTATAGTTTTAGTTGACAATAACAACACTGTCATGGACTGGATTTGAATTGTTGAATTGTTTTACACCAGCCTGTTTTTATTTTTATTTTTTGGTGGTATAGTTGATTTCAGATTTACCCACCCATAAATGACGTGTAAAAACAAAAACTGTGGTTGTTCACTTTACATATAAGTCAGGCAGTTTCTTATTGTCTATTTGGGTGGTTCCCGGTCAAAATAAGCTACAGAGGTTTAGAATGTTGCTGTTCAACACTTGAATATGTTCATAAAATTGCTACTGAACAGTGAAAACATGTAGAAGACATTCAAAACCATTTCTGGCATCCAGTTTGTGGGAGTCTGAACTTGGCCCTAACCTCGGGACTGATGCTAATTTGAAAGACTGCGAAATGGTGGTGGAGTGACTCATCTTTAACTTCTGACCTTTGACCCAGTCCTTCTGTCTTTCAGGAAAGGAATCGCCCCTTTGACCCATTCAACTTGCACACTTTGGAGAATTCCTTAATGGACATGATTGGGACAAACCATGACAAAGGTAAACATCACCCTGCTGCTGGCCCACCAATGACTATCGCTGATATTATATGGAGGAATCATTTTGCAGGTTAGGACTATTTATACATCCATGCTTCTTTTGACCTCAGAATTGTCAAAACACTTGGCTTCAATTATGGTTATTTGTTTGTTTTGGTGTATTTTTCTGCCACTATATTTTAATTTGTGCTTTTAAGAATTGTTATTTATTAATAATTGTTGCAAAATATTGCGTAAATATTTTAAATAATATAATACACACTACTGTTCAAAAGCCTGAGGTCATAAATGTTTTTTTTAAAGAAGTACTTTTGTTGAGCAAGCATGCATTAAATTGATCAAACTGACAGTAAATACATTTACAATTATTTCTTTTTCGAATAAATGCTAAAATATTTAGCAGCACAACTGTTTTCAACATTGATAATAATAATAAATATATATATTTTTTATTATTTAAGTATCAAATCAGCATATTAGAATGATTTTTTTTAAGGATCATGTGACACTGAGGACTAGAGTAATGATGCTGAAAATTCAGCGTTGCATCACAGGAATACATTAAATTAAACTATATTCAAACAGAAAACAGTTATTTTAAATTGTAATAATATTTCTTAATATTACTGTATTTTTGATCAAACAAATGAAGCCTTGGTGAGCATAAGAGACTTCTTTCAAAAATCGTTAAAAACCCCACACAGTACAGTAGTGTAAATTATATAAATGCAGCTGTCTACTGTATATACAGAAATGTTTGTAAAATGTATTTGTTTGTATTTTAGGGTTTTCACATTTATTCTTCCAGAATTTTGATCGGTACCGTATTCAGTGATTCTGTACAGACCATTTGCTGAAGGGAAAGTTTAGTAGTTGTGGGAAATTTTCTCATGTGATGATGTTTTAAGATCACACTAGAGTCTCATGGGATATCATGAGAGATGGCTTTCCTCTTGTAGACAATGGAAACGTGTAAAACAGGAGTAGAGGGAAATTGTTTTTATGTGCTAGCCTGGATGCATGGAGAGCCACATCAGGGGCCCCGTCTCAGGTGTGGAACTGTTTTTCCAGATCTGGGTGAGAGAAGAGCTGTGAAGAGCTGCATTGTGGGAATAGATTGTGGGTCAAATGTGTCTGTGAGAATGAATTTGGCAGTTATAGGATCTGAATACTTGAGTGAGCGCCCCTAGAATAAAGCAGAAAATCCTGACAATCTGGCAAAACTGCTCACCTCGAGCAGATGTCAGTGAAGTAGACTATGAACAGAAAAAAGACGCAAACTATTTGCATCAAACCCATCTTTCTTGGAACTTCTAAAGTCCTTTCCAAAGGATTCCATTTAAATTTCCAAAGGAACCTGTTCCTATCTTACATCTGCATGAATAGTGCTTGTGCTTCTCGTGTGTGTGTTTGGGAAATGCGGTGAGTCACTGCAGTTTTGGCATCTGCTTGTCATGACATTAATGTTGTTGTTGATAAGGTTACAAGAGGTCATTAGTAGATCAATGATCTGTAAAACACACTCATTACTCCAAATCAGTTGTTTTTCTGGAATGACATGGAAATTGTGATCATCTTTTTTCCCTATTGTGATGTATGTTCAAGTGAAACAACTTCTAAAAGAATATATAGGGCAGAAGTTGATTGTGTCCATTGGGAATTGTTTGGATTGTTGTCATTTGCTAATTGCTGCAATCTTATCATATGAACACAAACTAACAGCAAGTCAAAATTTCATCACCCGTTTTATCTATTGATAGTATATCAGATGCCCTCATTTCACATGTGAGGGTGTTTAAAAATAAGTCTTAAAGGCACAGCAGCAAAAAAAAAAAAAAGTGATAAAATGGTCATGAAAAACTAATTCATCACTATTTTTGGCACAAAAAGTAAGTTGATTTAGAATACATAAAGAACATAGAAGAATTATGGTATGGCTCCTTTAAAGGAATTGAATAATTTGCCCAAAAATTAAAATTCTGTCATCATTTTCATCCGCCCTAATATTGTTTCAAACCTGAATGACTGTCTTCTGTGGAAATCACAAATGAAGGAATTTTGAAGAACAAACAACATTGGACCCCACTGACTTTCACTGTATGGACAATAAAGGGTATTTTTTAAACATCTTTTGTTTTTTACAGAAGAAGGAAAGTCATACAGGTAAGTGTGATGGCACTTGAATTTTTGGCCGAACTAACCATTTTAGTTTGCTCTCTGTCTGAAGTGGATGATTTTCTTGGTTTTGCTCCAGATTCAAATGGTCTTCTGAGGTGTTTTGAGCCTGTTCACACTTCTGAATCCACATTAATCCAATTGAATTTGGAGGAAAAATTGTGTTTTGAAATGCAGAACAGAATAATCTGCATCCGAGCACAGTCTCATTCGCTTTCTGAGGTCCCAACATTGACATTAACACTCACACACGATCACAAAGATGCCTTTGTGCAAGCACACGGACACAGATTTCTTTTGGCCATCTCAAATAATCTGTCTTGTGTAACTGTGACCAAAGGCTTGAACCAAATCGGTTGTTTCCTACACGTCATAGGTTTTGACTGTGGTGACAGTCACAGCTTGGCAGTCTGATTTCATTATGCTCAATAACTCAGCCATAATGATCAGACTGAGCTAGCTGATGAGAGGAATATATTTGAGGATACTGTTTCTTCACATCTGCACAAACTGGTTCCTCTCATTACAGTTAGAACTAGGAAACGCTTGACAGGGTGACCTGTAATCTGGGTCGCTGAGGTCCGCTGGGTTCAGGCAGAGCTCAGTTTGACCCTGTAGGCCAAAGTTGAGACGGTAGCTAAAGATCATGATGCAAGATGTTTGTCAAGCCTAGGCTGGTGTGACTTTGAACGTTGACATTGATGAAAGTGTCTCAGGGTTCAACTCGTCCCGTATCGAAGGCCCAGGATAATATGTACAAAGAGCGTAAGCCAAAATGTCTCGTTTTTCCAACTGTCACTCTTATTTGAGATCGTGTGTTCGGACAATAAAAGATCAGCCTTCATGCTGAAGGTTTTTCAGTTTGCTTAAATAATTAGTATTGTTTAGTGATATAACTGCATAATTTTGATAAATTTGTATTCAACAGGGCTGTCAATTAAGACAATCTATTTATTTTTAGGAAAGAAAACTAAGCAGCATTTGTAGTTATATTGAACTTTTCAAAGTCAAATAAAATAAATGCCTTAAAAGCGTTTAAAAAATAACATGAAGCTAGGTCTCATTTGTTAACATTAGTTAATGCATTAACTAATATGAACTAACAATAAGCAATATGTTTTACAGAATTTATCAACTTTTGATAATGTTAGTTTAATGAAAATGTTCGCACTCATGTTAGTTCACAGTGTACATTTATTAGCGAACAGATATAATTTAGTTAGTTAAAAATGTTGAGATTAACAGTAACTGAGATTAATACATGCTGTTGAAGTAATTGTCCATTGTTATTGTTCATATTAACTAATGTTAACTAATGAAACCTAATTGTAAATTGTTACCAACATATTCAATTGACTAGATTTAAAGGGATAGTTCACCCAAAATTGAAAATGAAATCATTTATTCACCCGTCATTCCAAAACCATATGACATACAACAAAAAAGAAGACATTTTGAAGAATGTTTCAGCTGTTCATACAATAAATATCAAAGGTGACCAAAATGATATTAAACTCCACTGACTTTCATTGTATGGACAACAAAAACACCACACGTTAAAAATCATATGGGTGAGTAAATGATGCCAGAATGTTCATTTTTGGGTGAACTATCTCTTTAACTGTTTGTCAGTTCTCAGTGCACCACATTTCACGGTAGGGTCTTTTCTATTAATAGTTTAACATTGTTTGTCTTTCCTTAAAGGCGCCCTGTTAGGGTGGTCGTGTGAAGCTCAAGGTGTGTGAATGTTGATGTGAGTGTTGCACAATTTCAAGGACATTACAGTCTCAGTCGGATTTTCCACAGCAAAAGCTTGTTCTGACGGCTCTTAAAGCCAATTTCATGGGACTTTGAAATTGTCAGGATTTAATAATGTTGTCCATTAGAGTTCTTCATTCAAAATGCAATATAGTTTAATACCAGGGATATGTAAATCAATGCAGCTCCGTGTGCAAATTGTTAGATTTTTCCCATTTTCAATGGTCAAAAATCAAATGTAGGTCACTTTGCCTACAGCAGATTATTGTATTTAAAGAGGAATGATGTTGAAACTCAAAATGTATTTGAATCACTAATGAAAGAAATTTGCCATTTAAATTTCTGAGTTTTAATATAATATAATTCTTAATTCACATTGCAGTTTACCTATTTTCAGAACAGTTCTGAAATGAAATTGACCAAATTTTAGATTTCATGATGCATTGCATCATAACGGTACTAAAACCATTGTCAGATCCAATATTTTTCTTATTAGGTTTATAGGTGCAGTAGGAGATCTTGGAAAATGCTAACTTTAGCCTGCAAACATTAAAGGTGCAGTAGGAGATCTTGGAAAATGCTAGCTTTAGCCTGATAGCACTGAGAGCGAACGTCCCACCCTCCCTGCAATCGCCGTCCAAAGCCACGCCCCCTGAATGCATATACGCTCACAGGACAGAATACCAGAGACAACATTACTACAATAGGCTACATCAGCGGTTCCCAATTCCAGTCAGGAGTAAATAGTATTTATTTACAGAGGTATATTATGTCACACTTCACACTTCTCTAGTAAGTTTCGTCTGTGTGTGAAGAAGCTGCGCAACGCAAATCCGTGAATGAATGTTCCGAAGTAAACTTCAACGGATTTCCCCCGCTCAGGGAGTAGGGAGCAATGAACACTGTGTAGGGATCACATCGATCGGAACACAGTTCATGCACGTAGCTCACTTCTAATGAGCTGGTTATCTGAATCGGGTGTGTTAACTAAGCGAGACATGCAAAACACTGTGTCAAATACATCATGTGTCATTCACCGGTGAGAAAACTTTAAAAGTACTACAATACCAGGAAGGAAGATCGGGTTGTTGATGCTTGTCTGCCATTCTCTCTCTGTCTGCACAGTGTGCGTAACGC